TTTTGTCTGAAGCTCAAAACCACGTACGCGATCAGCTTTCAACGTGAAGCTTTTTAAAATGCAAATATTCTCCTCCGCGCGTTTCAACTTTTGTGCAAAAAGGAAACGAAACTTTCCAAGCAGACTTCGCCAAACGAGTCAATAAACAAAACGAGCAGCAGCACATTTAATCGAGAAACGATTAAAATTCCGAGTCAGACGATAATCGTCGGAGCATCGTGTCGTCGGGGGATATTTAAAGAAAGAGCAATGACTGACACCGCGAGATGTAGGCAAAGTCACTCAGCGCGGATGATGATTTGGGATGCCTCGTGTGCGTCGACGTGGGAGGTATCATATTTGGCGGACGTTCGACGAGTTATTGCTGTCTGCGCCGCGGCTTTCGTTGCATGTTACGCACACTCGGTCGATCTCTCTCTCTCTCTCTCTCTCTCTCTCTCTCTCTCTCTCTCTCTCTCTCTCTCTCTCTCTCTCAGCCGCAATAAAACTTGCACGAAAGACTATAGATCCGCGTAGGTGTCGGAAGATTAAGAAGGCTCCGAAGTTTTTGGCTTCGGACTGGCTTTTTTCGACGAACCTGGCATGAATAATTGTTATTAACATACGTCAGTGTCGCACAAAAGGAAGCTATAACGCGGACCTTTTTTGCTGGAACGTTCGAATTTTTAATCCCGCGACGAAAAAGGACATCGGACAGCCCGAAGAGAGACGAGCGATGAGTCGATATATTATTTATGAGGCTCGTCCGACGTATCTGGTTATTAGGCGCGAAGTCATTCGTTTTCTTTTCTGCGAAAGCTTCTATACCTGCGGCCGAGAATGCAGGAGAACTTGAACGACGACACGCAAGCGATCGCATATAGAGAGAATGCAGTTAGTCACAACGTTGAGCTTCGGCACTCGGCCTACCGCCACGTGGCCAACAAACAAATTCCGATTGACTTACGTCGGTCGTCGTCAGCCTGGCCGTATATTTGTGCAAACTTTTGGGCGAACGCAATGTGACGAAATGCATTATTTGCGGCTGTATTATTAATTTGGATCTGGCCACTTGGAAAAATCTTAGGGGACTGAAATTGATCGCAAATCAATGTTTAGAATTGATCGTACACCTTGAATGCCAACTCTCATTAAAATGAATTGATAAGAATCGACGATACCAATCGTTCGATTGCAGTTTCATACTTTTAATCAACGCCTTTTAAATAAAACCACTTTGACAGTGTTAATGGCTTTTTTTAATTTAGACCGGTTATCAAAATTCAAAAAGAATAAATTTGTCGAGTTATCAAGCCCATCATTAAAAATATAAGAAGGCATCTTAGGCATTGATGCTACTCTAAGAAAAAAAGGTTAATTAATGGAAATCATCAAGATAATTATTTTTGCTCGCGTGAACAAAGTATACAAAGGATTCCGCCATAACTTTTTATGAATACGACAAGCCCACGCAGTCGAACGACGAAAAAAGAAATTCAGGCCCGCCATAAAACCCAAGCCAATTCATTAAAATGCATGCAATCGCATCCTAGTTTGCATACAGTGGTCGAAACGCTTAACAGAAAGAAGGAAGCGAGATGAGGGGTAGAGCAGAATGAACGAGGAAAAGAAAACTAGACATCCTAGCGAGATCTGCGCAGTTAATCAGTGAAGAATAAAAAGTGGTGTGCGCTATATGTACGATGGAACAAAATGGACGGAGGGAGCGGATAAAAAAAAAAAGCTGCGAATTCTCGGTCCCGAAGAAACCGCAACGAGCGCGACGCGTGAGCGAAGCGACCGACTCTCCGTATAATTTTCAAATAGGCCTATAATAACAATAATCAAAGGAATGCCAGTCATCCGGCCGCCAAGCTTCTCTCTCTCTCTCATCTCTCTCTCTTCTCTCTCTCTCTCTCTCTCTCATCTCTCTCTCTCTCTCTCTCTCTCTCTCTCTCTCTCTCCTCTCTTTCTCCGTTGCTCTATGATTGAGAAATAAGCAGCGTCAAATAGTTGTATCAGTTGCACGATTAAAAATAGTCTGATATAATTTATCACCACTTTATTTGTAAAAAAAGTAGAGAAAATATATGCGGCTAAAAGTTAAATTTATTTTTCGAAAAAATCAAACTCTAATCACCATCTTTTCCATCAATTACAATTTTCACCAGCATATTTCGTACAGAAATGGTGAATAAGATATCTCATAAAAACTGGTTCTAATTCAAACAATTCATTAAATTTTCAATCGTTATTCTACGAAGCATATAATTATAGTAACTTGGTTCCCTGATCATTTGCACTGGATGAAGTTTCATGAAATTCAAACTTAGAACTTTAAAATCTTCGATAACATAAATATTTGCCAAGTCCAAAGTTTCTAAGGTATCCTTAACATTAGTGTTGAATAATATGTGTTCAATGCAACAAAAACAAATATCGTGCAATTGATTCCTACGAGTAACTTTATGCAGTTAATAGTTTACTTCTTTAATATTATCTGCTTGATCTGTGTACTAATTGTAAATACCTGTGTAAATATTACCATTTGTTTAATCACGCCTAGACTGAAATCGTTAATGCGCACCATCGAAGTTTCGTCCTCGATAGTTTAATTTTAAAACATTGCTTTAAATATGTGACTCAAATATTAATAGAAATTTGTGGACAAGAATAATTTACCGATCAACGTAAAGCTTAAAGCCGATCGGTACTTCCTCTGATACAGCCATCTGTAACCAGTCCTCACTTTTACAAAGTGCTTCATGGCGACAACTGGTATTAAAAATGAAATTTTCATGAGCTCTCAATGGGAACGTTACACGATACTAATTATCACATTCGAATGTACCCTGTGAGGTCCCATTTTCAAATATTATAAACAAGCGTTCGGGGTGCTCTATTACGTCGTGAGATCGCTCTAAAAATATTTCAGACGCATTGTCTTGTTTCAACTCTTGCACTTCCGTTTGAAAAGACAGCCATGTCTCAACATTGCAAAGAAATGTAGACGTTTGTATTGAGAAGTCGCAAGCATTCAAAAAAGAAATGCTCTCGATGCAGTACGACACCTTGCCGTAATTGTACGAGGAAGAAGGCTTAAAATTAGAATGAAGAGGATCGTTTCTCTTTGTATAAACAAAAGTGTTTATACTGCGAAATTATGAGATATTCGGAGATGAGGGATCGAAGAAGTTTTTGCTACGGATGTTGTGTGCGGTGCTGTCAGAGCTGTGGACACATTTCAGCCATCTCATAAAGAGCTATCAGGACTCGAGAAGGCTGCAAATTACAAAACTGCGCTGCTCGATGATCGGCACTCGTCGAAACACTGCTTTTCAGTTTTCCTTCAGAAATCTACACCTATGCATTGAGCGCTAGAATAGCTGACAAACAATAAACAGTATACAGTGCGTGTCTCACTTCTTCGATATACGCGTATTCACTGATTTCTTAAATTACTCTCAGTCTTCAACCCGAAAGCCACGATGTTTAAACTTTCTCATCGCCGAGCTCATTGCTACTCGCATAAAAAAGTGTTGCCACCGTCGACTTTCATCACACTAAAGACAGTTTCAACTAATTGTTATTCCCGACTAACTTTCAAATCACTGTTTTCACCGGTGAAAATAAAAAGGACCGCGATCACTTGCTCATTTAACGCAATGAAATACAATCGAGGCTGAATGGAACGTTGGTCAACTCCCTTATTCTAAGAGAAGTCAAATCCGAGAACAAGAATTAACCGATCCTATAATACTACATTTCGATATTAGTGCGAGAAAGTAAGTTAAGCTTAAGTTACGGTTTTAGTTTGAATCGGCAGGCTTTCTTCACTCGCAACGAAAACTAATTTGAGGATTTTGTATACCATCCAAAGTTTACATCCAGACGTATATACTTACAAGTGTTTCGAATAATCGGAGTCTACGTTTGAATACAAAGCAATGAATTTATTCGATCCTCGATCTCCCATACCATCCGTTAGGTTATTGATCAACAGTCAGAAAGTGCCTTTTATTATCGTGTATTTAACAAATCAAGTTAGATACATGTGCGAGAAAGTGATTTCAATCTCGTGTGGCCGGACTAGTATCAAAATTTCTATTACGATGTTCCTTTCACGATAAAATTTGATATTTATATGGAAAATTAGATCTGCAAAGTTTTACCAGACATTTTTGTATAAAGAAGCACGATGACTTTTGTTACAAGAACTGCTCGAAAAATCATGAATCTGAAATGGAAACCCAAGTCAACCCAGTATGTTTACACATTTATAGGGACAAAGTAACTGTTTATAAAGAATATGTAATTAATAATTGAACCGATGTCACTGATGAATAATTGATTATTATTCCTAGTGTTTTGAAAAAAAGAAAATCATTGTTTATTGGTCAAGTAATTGTTGTGGTATTTGAATTATATCATTAAGCTAATAACAAATCAGAAGTGATACAATTTTGTTATACAATTTGTCTTTGTCAGTTTAATTATAAACTTGTACGCAGTAGAGGGGGCTGCAAAAATATATGGAAAAGTACTGAAAGACGCCTCTCTATTGTTACGATAAGCATTGTATATTAACTCGAACAAATAAATATTGAAAGTAACGACATGTGCGATTCAACTTGTTGCAGTGATAAATGCGGACGTAGAATTCGTTAATTTATATTTTAACAAAATGAAAACTGAAAAGTAAGCACTGTGAAGATGAATTCCACGGAGAAACGCTTTTATACGGTGCTCCTTTTGGTTAATTTTGCCTGGATTAAATAAAAGTAAAATTGACTTTATGTTCGACTAATTTGCGTTGATAAACTTGACACGTGCGAGTGTGTCGCTCATAGGTTTCTACAAAGCCATAAATTCGTAAGAAGTTTGAAAGTGCATGGTGTGAGAGAATGAGGTGACTACTATCGATGTATTAAAAGCAAAAAGTAAAAACTCCAAAGTCTAAGGGGCCTACCTAAAACAACAGTATTGATTAGACGGGCCTTTTGCAAACACGCGTTTTCTCGAGCCGACTCTATATAATAATTGTCCCAGTATCCCTACTAGAATCGACAGTATAAATCGCCCACGTCATAACAATTGCCTAACGAAACGCCCTCTCCAGATTGTGCTTGCTAACGACCGATCCTCGTTGTCCTAACGTAACCTTACTACTTTTACGAGTGAGTTTCTTGTAGTTCGATCAATGCCTGAGTTTATTATCATTTATCGCATTACAAGATAACTTAGTTAGCTTAGTTATCTAATAGAAAACGGAAAGGGAAAATCTTGGAAGGCGTCGTTAACAAGAAGGACTTGCAGGTTGCACACTTCTTTCTTCCCGAATGCTATAGAAAGCCAACGAAAAGATCGCAGGCGGTGAGTCGGATTACTCGCGCTGTTTTTTATTGTGCGCAGTCTCGAGTTTTGTGCAACGAGTGTTTCCAAAAGTCGCCGAAAGCCGAACGCAGTTGCGGAGATGGGTGAAAACAGACAATGTATATCCGAAGACGTGGAACCTTACGCAGTCATCGTAGAAAGTGAGAAACTCAGCGGGTATCAATGGGACCACATTTTCGAAGTTGCGGTAAACGTCACTCGACATTTCATAATTAAATTTAATTGAGGCTCGTCGAAACGCTCTCCCAAACGTGCTCGTGTCTTTTCAGGATCCGCATTCATTGGACTTCGAGGTACACAGAATTGCCTTGAAACAAAAGCCAACGGAGAAAATGAGTATCGAATTTAAATTTAATGCCGAGCCCAATAAACAGTCGGCTGACGAATATTGTTATCGCGCTACGTGCAGCGTGATATTTTACAACGATTTGCATTTATTCTCTCAAGATTTCGCGTACGAAATTTTATGCGAAAGATTTGAGGGTGTGCCTAGATTGCCGGAACAGCTATTCACTATGCTTGAAAAAAGGAACTCCGAGCGCATAAATAATATTCAGAGCCATTTCACAACGAATCAGTTGATTCGTTCCGAGCAGTTGCGTCTCTGCGTTCGTCGGCAAGGCCCGGCCGATTTGAAGAGTGACGCAAAACCACGCGTTGACTTCCGAACTCAGTGTCAAAGCGTATCGCAAGATATTGTTATACGTGTCGAAGATAAGAAAATCAGCGCTCACAAATTTGTGTTGTCGTATAAAAGCGAAGTGTTCCGAGCAATTTTTCGCAATCCCAAAGTAAACGCTCTAAAAATCGAGGGATACAGCTCCTCGGTCGTCAAGAAAATGTTACATTACGTCTACACGGACGAAGTCGAGAGCGCCAGGGATGATTCTATCTACGATTTGTACAGAGTGGGATACGAGTACGCATTACGCGGCCTCTGCCGCTACTGCGAAGAGCATATGCTGTTCAATTGTAGCCGTTCAAAGATCGTGAAAACGCTTGCCTCGGTAGATGTGTCCAAAACGAGTTATCTCAAAAGCTGCTTGTGGAATTTTGTCCAGGCTCACGCGCGAGAAATGATCGCGCAGCCAGATTTCGTTGTTTATCTGTGCCAATCGATGAACAAGAATAGTGTTGTCCAAAAATTACTGTTTGCCATAGAGCACGAGCTCAGCATGCCAAAAGAGAAAGCTATAGAGTACATTGCGCAAAAATATACCGTAATGAAGGACAATACCGACTTTCTTGAACTGTTTCAATCACATCCTACTTTAATGAAAGAGATATACTTATTTTATTGCAATCGTTACGCTTCGATGGATCATCATTAGGTCTTGTAAATACAATGTACAGTTTTTTATGTATAGCTTTTGTGGTTCTCTAATTTTGTCACTAATTTGAAAAATCAATTATTTTTTAGTAATTAAAATATCCAATACCATCTCAACAATCTCATGAAAAAAATTATTCATTTCTCTCAAATGCCGATTATAAATCATTATATATCGCCTTGTTGATTTTTTCGCGAAAAAGACAAAGACTCGTTTCTAGAAAAGTATTAATGACAAAAGTTCGGTAATAAAAAAAAATTAATTTTTTTCTTTTGCCAGCTGGACATATATCAAAAGCCGAATATTAAAAATTTTTTGCAATATAGATTGCTAAAGAAAAGAATGGAACGAGCAGGATAAAAAGAAACAAGTCTATCTGCTAGAGTTACATCATTCAGGAAACGCCAGACGACGAAGCAAAGAGAGAGAGAGAGAGAGGGAATAAAACGAAGTGTAGCCAATCTAAAACGCAAGCGACAGTGCGCGAAAAGGAAAGAGCGATCGATTTCTATACGGCAATACGAAAGACGCACATATTCATGGCAAGGATATACAGCAGGCACGAGGCTAGCGGGAGAAACAAGGAGCGAAGGAAGGGGCCCAAAAAGGCGGCTCGCGCGCGCGCGCGCGGAGAGGGGTATTTCCCGGCGTGCGTGTTCACGCGACGACGTCGGCGACCCTGAGACATTAGCAGCAACACCGAAGGGGCCCGACAGCCAAGGCCAGCGCGCGCGCTCTCTCTCTCTCACTCTCGCTTGTAATACGTATACAGCTCTCGCGCCCGAATATTCCGCCGCGGCCTGACTTTTGCGCGGGTCTACAGGCCGTCAATAATTGTCGTACTGCTAGCCGGAGGAGGGACAACCAGGCGCGCGCGGAGAGGTATTTAATTAGCCCTCGGCGTAGAGCAGCTCTGCTTCGCGACTAATGAGCTGTAATATTTTATTGCTAACGAAGTTCAACGGGCAAGCGCCTCCAGCTGCATTATGCGGGCTCTCGCGGGCGCCGCGCCGTGCAATTTTTAATTTTTGTTCCCCGGCGCCCGACGGCCCTCTCTCGATCTTATCGGCGGGGCAGCCCTCGGCGCGTGCAAAATCCCAACTGTCGGCTGTCTTCGGCCGGATCAATGCCGCTCGGATCCGGCACCCAACCCGACCCAAATCCTTTGAAACACTCGATTGCAATTGCGCACTTGACGGTAGGTTCGGTCTCGGCGGAAGCGCCGCAATCGGCTACTCCGTTCGCCTCGAAATGTGGACGAGCAAAGTGTCTGCGGACGATTGGCTGCAAATAATCACAGTCCACCAACGCGTTAACGAATGCAATTCTCCGTTCGCACGAATCGCCGAGGTGCTCGTTACAGTGTATCGGCAGCACGACGCAGTGTCGCCCGCGATCAAAAGGACGAACGCAGGGCTCGAAAAGAAAAGGGAAGAAAAAGGCGAGCCCATTCCCATGAGCGCCGAGTGTGCGTCGGTTACCGGCGGCACGGCCGCAGACTAATTGGTCATATCGCCAATCAGTCGGTCGGTAATCCGGTCGGTCGAAAGCCCACAGCGCGCGCGCGGAGAGAGACGGCCGAGAAGCTCCGTGGCTACGCCGCGCCGCCGAGGCCGAGGCGTCGGCCGGTTTGTCCTTCAGGCATCGCCCTGCGCTCTCGGAGCGGTCGCGGCAGCGCGCGCACGCCCCGCTCCCCATATCTCGGCGCGCGCGCCGGAAATGCCGGGTGTGCCGCGAATAGCAAAGCTTTTATCGAAAAAAAAAAAAAAAAAGTAGCAGCAGAAGAAGAAGAAGACGAAGGAGAAGAAAAAGGCGACGAGGCGGCCAGACGAGCTTCGTCCCGAAAACGCTTACCTGCGCGAGAGCCCCTCTGATAAGGATCCCAGACGCGATGCTGTCCGCGCGCACCGAGTCATTCTTTGCTCCTTTTATTTCCTGCTGCCTGCAACAGTTGCGCAGTCGTGCCTGCAATTAAGCGCAATTCCGACGCCTCCCTCCTCTATTTTTTATGGAGCGCAAGCCTCGAATTATAATTTTAAATTGTTCCATTTATCAGACCCATTTAGCGAGAGTGACTTTTGGAAAAAGGCTCGTCGCTGCTGATTATCATCTTTTATTTTTTCCTTTTAATTAACAAATTCATCCCTTCCAATCTTTTTACGAAATGCCTCCATGATTATTTATCAAGCTGGCCGTGAAGAATGACAACGTAGCGTATAATTTATGTGAATTCATTTAACATCGCCCTATGCCATTTTCACGATGATGGCTACGCGTGTTTGTGTGTGTGCGCGGTGTGTGTGTGTACGTGGCACTGGAATTCATCCAATTTGCGCGAAATCCATTTCGCTTTATTCGTGTCGTAATTTTTTTTATTACAATCGGTTAGCCTTACGTAAATGCACATTTACACGCTGTTTCGCGTGCTTAATTTCTTTAATAACTGTGATAATTTACATCTGAGCTTGACTCGAACAATATGATTTCTCGTTTGCACACCGATGAAACAATCAAGCTCGTGCGCAATGTGCAATCGCAGCTAGTTTCTCCGGTTTGCCAATAGTTGCCTACGGCAATCGCGCATACACACTCGCTCGAGCTAATCGCAGCACGACAGCGGGTTCGACGGTACGCGAGAGTAAGGGTTTGGCACGCGTCGACGTCCATTTGTCGCGGAGAAAATTCAATTGGAAATGAGACGAAGAAGAAAAGACCGCGCTGCGCTTTGCAGGCGAGGCGTCTGCCGCGTCTGCGCTCTTTTATCCGTCTCTTTCAAAATAACCGGCTGACCGAGTCCTCATCTCTTGTTTTCTTAATCTGTTCCAGGAAAAAAGTTCCAACAACAACTACAACGTCTCGTGTATATTGACTCTGCCGCCGTATCAGCGGCAAGGTTACGGCCGGCTGCTCATTGACTTCAGTGAGTACGAAAGAAAAAAAAAAATTAAAAAAAAATTAGTTCGTTAATGCCTAAACGAGCCGTCGTGTACGCGCGCGCTTTCTTCGGTTCGACAATCGCGCGAGAGATTGTATCATTGGCACTTGCGAAATTGGCGGTTTATCGCTTTCGCGCGCGCGCGCGCGCGCCCGACATATCCCGAATTACGCGGCGCAAAATCGATTATCCCGCTTTCCCAAAGTGGCACTGGGCAATCCCGACGTTTGGCTAATTTTAGACGTGGACTTTTAGGCAGGCGCGCCTCTCGCGCAATTGCGCTCGCTCGCGTCTCAATGACCTCCAGTCCGGACTGCTCAGGGCTCGCTGGCCGCGTTCGCCGTCACCTCGAGCCTTCATTGTCGGATCGAGGTTGCTCGAGCGGTACGCGGCCGAAGTGGGTTAAACGGCCGAAAGTCAAAACTGCGGCCGGCGGGGCTTGCTCGACAAGGGCGGGCCGTCGCTACGTGGACTGGATCGCGAAGCTTCGAGGACGCTTTTCCTCGGTCTGGGCGATGCTGCGTCGGCGGACGGGCGAGGAGAGAGAGAGAGAGAGAGCGAGAGAGAGAAAGCGGGCGCGCGCGCCGAGGCAGGCAGCAGAGACGCAGCGACGCCCGGCGTCTCGCCGCATCGATCGGCTCGCGCTGCTCTCTCTCTCTCTCTCTCTCTCTCTCTCTCTCTCTCTCTCTCTCTCTCTCTCTCTCTCTCTCTCTCTCTCTCTCTCTCTCTCTCTCTCTCTCTGCGTAGCTGGGATAGCGATCGCGTGACCTCGCGTGACCCCGAGGGTTGCCAGGGCCAGCAGCCGACTACACCCTGCGCCATTGCCAAAGTCCTTTATATACATTTTATATATCTGCCGCAGCAGCGCAGTCCAAGTTCGCTGGCTCGCTTCCTGCATTAGCTTGCTTTATTTATATCGCTCCTGGGGATTATTTAAGCGGGCGAATTGCAACGGCTTTCGAACTCGCGACGCTGCAGTCGAGAGCTTCAGCTGTCTCGCCGACGACTGTGCACGTATATGCATTGGTTCGCGCGAGACGAGCGACAATTTGCTTCGCTGCAACGGCAATTTCAATTATCTGTGTCACTTGGCTGAGGGGACGGAAAAAAAGAATGGCAAGCTCAAAAACCGATATCGGTGTGCACAAGCGCGCGCGTACCGAGCGCTCTTCCGCCAACGTTGACCGCTCCGACATCCCCGGCGCGAGCCCGACGTTCGCGTCGTCGCTGAAATGTCATTAGTCTTTTCGTCGACGCCGTGAAAGAACCGAAAAACAGCAGCGAATTTTCGCGCCGCGTCTCTCTCCCGGCGCGGGCCGAACAATTGCATCCCGCGGCTTGGCGCGCAAACAAATTCTTCCCCGCGCCCCGACAACAATTACACAAGGCAGACACGCTAGACAGTGGGGCGGGGGAACTTGTCGGGCCTGGCGGCAGACGGAATCGCAAATCCGCGCAGCGCGCGATGAATACGTCGGAGTCGCGTCGGCGGCGGGCGGCGGGCGGCGAGAGCTTTCCGAAGTAATCGGTCGAAAGCCGCCGCTGCTGCCTGCGTCCTGCCCCGCGGGTACGAATTGTCATTCGTGCGCGGATTCCACGACTGCCGTTCACATGAAAGCTTTATTCAAAAAGCGCAAGAATCTCTTTGTCACTATCTCTCTCTCTCTCTCTCGTCCGCGACGTCCGGTTCTCTCTTTTTTAACCCCATGTCAAATCATTTGCATAGATATTGCAATTATCGCAAAGAATACTGCTCTGGGAAAAACCATTTGAGATTTATTATGTGGCAAGCGAGCTTCGCGAAAGAAGCGATGCGGATGATTAACATTTTTATTGCACGAGAGAGAGTGAGAGAGAGAGAGAGAGAGCGGAGAAGGGGAAAAAAAGGAGGAATCCGCAGCGTAATGCAGTGCCGCGTTGATTAAAAAAAAATAATAATAAATAAATAAGTAGTAAAAAAACTGAGTGGCGCGCGGTTTCATGAGAGATAGAGAGAGAGACCGTAATAGATTGCAATCATCGCGAGAAAGAGAAAGAGAGAGAAGACGCGCGCACTCGAGAGCAATTTGCTCTCGAGCGTGATTTATTGTTCGACCGCGCGGCTGCTCAACATATGGTATTTGAATAACCGAGAGCGCTCGCGACTCATATATGCATTTCCAATCCAGATTCCCCTCCCCACATCCCCACCGAAAAAAACCCCCGAAAGAATCGCGTGTGGCCGAACGCGGAAAAAGCGGGCGATTCGCGCGCGAGCGGTACAGACACGCGCGGATTTCAACATCGGCCGGACGTAAAAGCTCGTCGACAACGCGAAAAACAAAGAAAAAAAAGTGCGAGCAGGCGTGCAAAGGGAATTAATCGCGGGCCATGGTAAACGACGAATCGGTTCACCTTTGTTCCTTTTTTTTTTTGTTATTTCGGGGACGTTTAATTTGGCCGACGCCGCGCGCGGTGGTGGTGGCTGGTAGGTCGTACGCGCGTAGCATCCCTGCCGCAGCAGACAGTGGAGCACGAAGAGGGGAAAGAGGAGCAGAGAGACGACGACGCAGCCGACGACGAAGAGGGGAGGAGGGACTAACTGCGAAGGTCGTTGAACTCCAAAGCCCCGGGGGTTGCACGAGAGAGAGAGAGAGAGAGAGTATGTACCTCCCTCGCCCGCGCCTGCTTTTGCGCTAGACATCCCAGTCTCGAGGAGTCCGCAGAGGAATAAAGCTCCGCACCGGCGATTCTTGACCGACAACTACGTTTCGCAATTATTGCCGTACAACCACAGCAACCCTCGCCAGCTGTGCGATGGGATTTCGAGCTTTGACTGGCCGCCCATTGATTTGTTGGTTTTTTTTTTTGTTCTTTTCTTGCCTTCGTTCTCTTTTTTCGGGCGCGGATCGCAGGTTAATGTTTGCGGTCGCCCACCGAATTTATCTCCCACGCTTTCCGCGCTCCTCTTTTTCCGAACTTGAATCGATTTCGCTCGCCGGCACTATAATTGACTCGCCTTCGACGCAACATCAATCGACTTGGAAAACTCGCGAGGCGCAGTCCGATGTGATCCCGCGCGAGCTGACACAAACGAAAAAGAACAGCCTGCGGCTTGGCACCGGCGAGTTGTCGATAATATTGAATTTTATGCGCTTCGCCTGTAATCTATTAAATTAAAGTCGCTACTGAATGAATATAACGCCAGTTACGAATGACATTGAATGCGCACACGCCGGGAATGCTCGATGGAAAGCAGCGAGGTGCGATTAAGTGAAAAAACAAAAAAGGCACTTGGCGCGAAGGGCATGAGAAAGCATTGGCGAGTACGCGTAGAAAAGTTGCCGAGCAATGCCGAGGAGCTATGAGAAATGAAAAGACTCGGGCAATCATGTTACTCTGGCGGCGCAAGTGCCTGCGCGCGCGCGCGAGAGAGAGAGCCATTGGCCTCGGTCGGTTGGACAAGCAGTCGCCGTGGAACGTTCGTTCAACCGCACGCACCGCGCTGGCTCAGGTGTTCGCATGCGTGTGCGCTCGGGCCTTTCGACGTCGAGGGAAGAAAATTGGCTTTAATTGAGACTCGGCCGAGAGCCCATCGTCGACTGGATGTCTTCGAGCAGCGCGTTGCGATTTGCCGACGAATGGCGGCGGCGTCGCCGCGGGACTGCGCCCATCGCGATGGGTTTCGATGATCCGCGAAAAAGCGCGAATGACGCCGACGCGCTTCGCGACGCGGACGCTATCTGCAATGTCCCGTCGATCGATTAGCGCTGCCGAGGTTCCGCCGTAATGGCACTGATCTCTCCGACTTTCATCGATCGACCATTCCAAGTGGCCTGCCACGTCGTCCGTTGAAAAAAGAAGGCGGTCGATCGACTATATAACCGACTCTCTCTCTCTCTCTCTCTCTCTCTCTCTCTCTCTCTCTCTCTCTCTCTCTCTCTCTCTCTGGCGAGAAAATCTAACGGGCGTCTACGGCCTCTCGGTGAATTTTGCGCTCCGACCGAGGCGAGCGAGAGACGCATAGCGAGTGGCCGGCGCAGCTATACAATATGTTCTTTCGCAGGCTACCTACTAACGAGGGTGGAGAATAAAATAGGCTCGCCGGAAAAGCCGCTGTCGGATCTCGGGCTCATCTCTTATCGTAGCTACTGGAAGGACGTGCTGCTGCAGTACCTGTGCAACTTCGGCGGCAAGGAGATTTCCATAAAGGGTAAGCAGAGCGCGCCTTTTCCCGTACATTTCGGGCCAGTTTGGCTGATTCGATCGAACCACGTTGACAGACATCAGCAAGGAGATGGCCATCGACTCGTCCGACATCGTCAGCACGCTGCAAGCCTTAGGAATGATGAAGTACTGGAAGGGCAAGCATATCATACTTAAGAAGCAGGTACGTCACTTGTGTCCCCGCGTCTAATCTTATTGACCCACATGTCGCTTGGTTTTCATTCGCCGTGCCGCGCGACACCCGAGAGCACCGTCGCGAAATCTCGCGTTTTCGCGCTCCCCGAAGTTCGTCGAACTCGTCTCTTTCTCTCTCGTGCGCGCACCAAAAGTATCGCTCGGGGGAGGGCAAGGGAGCGCGCGCGTGGCATTCGAATCGGGCGACACGAGGTTGGAGACACCCTTATACGCGATGCACGCGCGCGGAAATCGCATTGGAGGAGAGAGGGCCTCGAGCCGTCGACGCGAGGGAGCGAAAAGATACTGACGAGATGGAATAAAAATGACTGCAGGACGTGATCGACGACTACAAGGAGCGGGTGAAGCGGCGAGGTGGCGTCTACAAGGAAATCGATCCGGAGTGCCTGAAGTGGAGCCCTTTCCAACCGCCCAAGACGCCCTCTGCTACGAGCTGAAGTCCTCCGCGCGCCGAAGCCCCGCTCTAGGCCGTCACGGCATTGTGCCTCCTCTGTACTTTTGGCTCGCACGCGCGACTCGCGAGCCTGCTTTGCCGCTCGCTTCCACGCTGGACTTTTCCCTTAGACGCGCTGCCTTGATCGGCCGACTTTTCGCCGACTTCAGTTTTGGCGCGGCCGAAAGGAAACGATATTGTCGGGAGTAGAGACGACCGAGCAGAGCGCTCTGTGCATTTGCCGAGTACTCAAAGGCAAAGTCGATCGAGCCACGATGTAAAATCAACGTAATTTAAAGAAGGACAATGATTTTTAATTGACCTTCTAAGGAGCTTACGACAGTTCGGGGTGAAATTTTCAGTTTCTTTTTTTTTTTTTTTTTTTTTTCTCTCGAGGTGCAATTCTCACGTGAACAATATTATTGATTCTAGTCAAAATATCAACAAGACAATTCACCCCAAGCATATTCATTTTATTTCATACCAATAATAATTGTCATACACTCGAAGACTTGAAGCATTATTCTATGCGTCTACAATTTACTAACAATCAGCATTTGATTTATTTTCTCTTCCTTTCGTTTCCTAAAATTTCACTCCAAATGTGTCAAACTGCATCGTTCCATATTCCACAAATGTGTAATGTATAGGTCGAATGCAGCCCGAAGAAGATATTATGAATATTTTTGTATTGCTTGGGATTATCGTAATACTTTTTACTTGGATCCTGTCGATGAAAAAGTAAAATTTATTACTGATCTCTAGAGCAACGGAAAATTGATTATATTCCTTTGATATTGATTTGTCAAATGAATTGTTATTTTATCGCAGCATGGCTAAAGTCGAAACTAAACTAACAATTGCTCTATGGAAATATGTTAATTTCTTGGCATCTAAATGTTTTAGAATGCGAATGGGAGCATTTTAAAAGTAATATGCCCGCCCAGTAATAATTTTCGAAAGATTGGCTATTCTAAAGAAATAATTAAAATAATACGCCGGAATAGATGAAGTGTTATTCTAAAACATTTACGATGGTGATTGTCTGGTTAGATTTGTTCTATAGCCAAAATTTTATATAACTTTCTACATTTTATAAATGTATTATGTAGATCCGAGAGATATTGAAATTGCTTATCACTGACTGTGTTATAATCATGGTATTGTAATTTTTCGTTTCTAATTTCCGCTGTCGTTACCTCGACATGGAAATTATTGTACAATGCATTGTACATTATTAATATAATTAGAGTTATTGTAAATGTGGGATGTTATTTATCGACTGAAAAAACATGTTCAATGTGTGATTTTTTACAGATTTTTTTGAGGTTGTCAAATCCTTGATATTGAAAGAATTAGGAAGTGTGACGGTTGTCAAGTACAAATCATTAATAATTTTCACGTGTATAGATTTTTAGCTGGTAAAGTATTTATATATAGTTTCCTATGACTGTAGCTATCTATAGCAATATGCAGCTGTATTTACAGTGGAAACATTATGAAAAAAAATTTTATTTTTAAGTTTTATTCATTGTTTCATTTTCATGTTTTTACATTGCATCGTGCGATTCAATTATCTGTAAGTCTTTATATTTTAATGTAACATCGACATTTTAAATCAAGTGTCATGACACGTTAGTTTTCCGTATTCATTTCCATGATTTCATCATCAAACGTTTAATGTAAAATATACTTGTAAAATACTAGGAAATTTAAAGGTAATAAAAGCCTTTTCCACAAAAATTTTCGTTTTATTAATTATCCGTTACATAACCAAAGAAAATGTTCTATTTACAATTGTCAACAAAATGATTAGTACACGTATCACGATATTACATTGATGACTAATAACGTCAATGTAGCTTTTATAATTAATTTAAGATCTCATTAAACCTATTAAAGTGCTTCTAAAACTCTTTAAATCCGCAATTCAATTCGAAAAGTGCTCATGTTTCTCTCAAGCAACCGTTGCAGACTGAAAGAGCCGAAAGCCTAAATTTGAAAATTATTTGTTTTCCACCCAACTGTTAAGCTTATGAGTCACTGGGATAATACACTTAAGATGACAAAGTCGAAAGAGAAGAAATATTCGCGTCTCATCGGTTCTCAACCTGAATTCGTCATAGCCTCTCCCTATCTGCAAAATATATGCAAACGAGGCGATAAATACGTAATAGGATCTTGCCATGTACACGCGGAAATAAGCAGAAATACAAACCAGCCCCTCCTCGTCGTCGTCGTTGTCATCGTCGTCGACGTCGTCGTCGCTGTCGCTCAGCGCAGACGTACACTTGCGTACATTACTCGGCAAAGTAATGTAAGCACTCGAGGTGAGTAATCGTCAGCTGAAGAAAGCGCCTTTTACGTTCGATGCCTGAGAAAGTATTCCGCATATCACGTTGCTTTCGAAAGAACTTTATTGTCGGTTGGAAATTTTATTCCCACTTTTTTCTTCTTTACGCACGGACGCTCCCTTCGCGGGCACGCGTGCTCCTATCGAAGCACATTGTACCCGCGATAATAAGAAATTAATGAATCGACAATGCTGATTGGACGACCGCGGCGGGAAGCAACGTATTTCGGCTGGAAAAATTGCCGAGCGAGATCATTCAAGAGTATCGGCTGAATAACGTAGAGCTGCTCAGCTACAAAGCTGTAAATTCATTTCCCAGTCGACATCTTTATAGTCGTCGTATACTTTAGAATAAGGCGCCCGTTAAAATCCCTCTTTCTCTTCGAAGACTTCAGCTTTTGCAACCAAATACAGCGGATGTTACGGGAATACAAAGCAAAGCCGAGATCTCTCATATCAAATATTGAGTTCGTGTTTCGTGTTGTTATTGTGTTTTTCATTTTTTTCTCGGAGCGGACAGCGGGGGGGGGGGCGAAATCGATAAAGTGTACACGGTCAGTTGGCAGTGCGTGTAATCAAGTTCTAATTCGTTATCGACCCGTGTGATTTGCGTCCGGTCGCGCGAATAAAGCGAAAAGTCTCGCCAAAGTCACAGCGGGTTTACTAGTCGGGCATATTGAACGCGCGCAAAGTGTGTGTTTAACTCGAGATCGTCGAAATAACGATGCTAATATTAGTGGTCGAAATGACTTGGAATCACGAGTGCTCGGCAACGAGACGTCGAAATCGATAAGTAATTCAGCGTCGATGTCGATACCAAGGTGGAAGAGAGAGAGAGAGAGAGAGACGAGTCAGTAGCTAACGGCAGAGTCGGCGCTGCATTGACGCGTTCGCTCGAGAGAGGCAAGATAATTGCGTTATACGGGCGTGTAACCTGCGGCAGCAGTCCTCTTCCCTTGTGTAATGCAGCGGCCGCGACTTCCTCGTCGCTGCTCTCTGCCACGCGAGCCCGTCGCACGCGCATAATGCTGTTATCTCATTAGCTAGACAGAGCGCGCTTGCGTTTTTATTCTGCCGTTGCTGCTGCTGCGGCTGCGGCTGCTGCTGCTGCTGCTGCTGATGATGATGATGACGACGACGATGACGATGTTATTGGCGGAGTAAAGGAAATGGCCAAGGAGGTTCAGTTGACACACAGGTCTCATAGATAATTATTTTATTAGCGAAGTTGCGTCGCAGACTTTTTCAATCGCTACCGAGGCATACATGACGCGATGTTACAATGATGAGTGTGTGACCGCTTATCGGCATTGTCGATTTCCGGAAAGCTCGTGCGCTATAACTGAACCGCAGTGTCGATCGGTAAACTGTATCGAGATGCTACATTTACAATTCTATACTATACGCTAGATTATCAATCGAAAACGCTACACAATAGACTCGCGGCATTAGCACGAGATAAAAAAAAGATAAAATTGAATGCTAATTCGTACAATGCAGTCGTACGCAAACTGAATGGCGTGCAACGGTGAATTCCAGAGCAATGGGACAAGAATGAGCAACGATCGTTGTACAAACTGCATTCGAAGAATTGGATTTTGTTTTTCTCGTCCATTGTTCCTCTGGCGCAGAAGCACGCGCAATGGCGTCGCGCATCGAAAAGTAAGGCGCGAAAAGGGGTCGGCCGCTCGTCGCGCTCAACGAGACGCAAGCGTTGCTCCGCCGCTTTTCGGCTTTCGGCACCCGTTCCTCGCAGACTTCGGCCGCGTCTATTCGCTGGCTAGAGTTGCGTGACAAGGCACAATCATATGAATTGCGCTCCGTCAGGCACCGGGTATCCGAATCACCAGAGCACCTGATGAAGTACAATTAACATGCAGCCTCCGAAGAGCCCACAGCTCCAGAGCGGCGAGTCTTCTTCTCCCTTGGGTCCTCTTGCCGCCCGCTCCACGGCGGCCGCGCGCGCCGATGGAACGTTCGGTCGCAGCGCGCGCTACTTCAGGTACCTGACTATCATTGCGAACACAGCCTATAGTACCGGAGTAACGCGAGTTGCGAACCGAAGCTCGCCGTCTCGTTTCTTGGGCCAAGGCTGCCGAGTCCGTGTGTTGCATCGCTCACGGCCCAACTGAAAGCAAAAGAAAACTTCAAGTTCGCCATTAGCGCCCTGGAAGCGTGTCTGTGAAACATTCTCTTTTCGACGACGCGCCAAGGCCGGCTGTTATGGTGCTTTCTTGGAAATTTCGCACACTCGCACAAAAGGTGTTTTCATTGGGCCAGCGTCTCGCGGCAGGGATAGCCTCTTCGTGCGAATCCGTGCGAGCCGCTCTGAAAAGAGGATTAAAGATCGTCGATCCATTGTGGCTTTGACAAACGCGAATAAGCTGCCCCCCCCCCCTCCACTCTCTCTCTCTCTCTCTCTCTGTCCAATGCGGCCGATGATTTCAGCGCCGTCGCGAGCGCGGGAAGCAATCACCGAATGCCGACCGCGCACGCGAGCTGCCGGTATACATACACACACACACACATACACACACGTATATATATATAATAATTATAACGTCGACCGATAAGATAGACCGTTGTTTGATAATGGTGCCGCGCCCACTATGTACGACCGTTTCGCTGACATTAGCGATTGTTCGGTCGATTTCGATTAATTCACCGTCGCACCTGCAAACAAAATCCGTACCACCTGCATTTGTCGATTGGACACAAAAGAAAACACCTTTCTCCAGACGCCACTCGTGCTGCGACGAGTTACGTCCTGTGCATTGCCAATTCAGCCGAAACTGACCCTCGCTACATCTCGCGAAACAACGTCATCGAGTGAAATTTCCATTGTCGATAATCCGACCAAGAACGTACCCTGGCGCCGTTGTCAGCTCTTCGCGTAGCTGGAACTAAATAAATTTTCGAATCTAAAAGAACGAAATAAAAAATGTGAAGTACACAGATACGAAGCCAGCAAGAATAGAACAAAAAATGAAATAAAAACCGAGAAGCAGCAGGAGGCGACGTCGACGCCGGAGAATTTCACAAATTCGTCGATTAGGCCCTCGTGGCCTTGTCGATTTTTACGCTGATATTGAAAAAAAAAGAAAAAAAAAAGAAAAAAGAAGAGAGCCTACACACACGCGTGCGCTGCTCTTGTATATTTTGCGAATTGCGTAGTCATCGATAAGATCGCGCGCGCGTGGAAGAAGCAGAGTCGCCGATATCGCTGAGTACAAGTCCACGGCAAACATATGTACGCCGAGCTTACGTACGCAACCCGATAATCTCTCACGTACGTTTCCTTCGTTTTTTATTTCGAAAAAATGAGCGAGCCGAGCCTGTTAAGAGGCGAAGGTTTTAATTGCGGCACTCGGTGATTACCGCGAGTGTTGCAACTGCTCGCGCATGGCAGAAAATCGTCGGCAAGGTTGTCTGGCTCGTGTAATCCGGTGGACGTGGGCGACGACAACGTGGTCTAATAAGCGGGCGGCGATTCCGAGAAGCGGCGCTGCGAAGGCTTGGCACGCGTACGGGGATCGCCGTCGCGATCGATCCGCGCGATCGCGTCCCCGAGGAGACGCGCGGCGATTTCCATCGGCCGTGCGCTCGCGGACGAGCCGCTGACCCGGCACTCGCGCTCGACGCCTACGCCACGCGCACTCGCGACATGTTTACGAGTCACGCGCGCGGTGGCCGTGCGCCGATCGACGCCGCTTTCCGCGAAGCGCACGCGGACGTTATCGCGCGTTCCCCGGAGTCGGCTCGAGAGGCAAGCGCATCGCGCGCGCGCGCGCGCGAGGTGGAGTTGCGCGACCCGTATCCGGCCGGCAACGCCGGCTTCCCGTCCGATGCGCCACTGACTCATCGGCTTGCCAACGGGGCCCCATCGAGGACGCGTTTCACTCGGAGCTGGCGATTCGCGCCCCTGCGCCTTCGAACACTGCGCGCCGGGACTGATTGGTCGCGAAGCGTACCGAACGACTTGCCCTCTCGGCTCGCGCGCGCCGACGATTGCACGCGCAGCGCAAACGTGATTAATGCGGGATATCAAGTTGCGTCCCAACCTACTCTTTTTTTGCACTCGCGCGGTGGGTACATTCGGAACGAAGAAAAAAAATATGGCTCGCGGACATACGAGTGAGAATTATATTTCTGGTGGGTCAGAAAAAGAAAAAAAAAAAGAGTAAATCGAGATGACGGAAGATCGTAAAGTTCCGCAGGCAATCTTTGCGAAATTTTCAAGCTAGTGTGTAAATTTCGCGAGCCAAGTGTGCGCAGCCTTGGTTGGCTCGTCTGTGTTTGAACATGCGTGGACTTTTTTTTCCTTCTTTCTTTCCGAGTGTTTCAAAACGCGAAATTGCGTTTGTTTGAATTCGGTAC